GGAGCTGTAAGCAATGAAAAGCTGAGAGTTAGCCCTTTGGTACAACTGCATTTGTCCTCACTGCTATCTCAAGTATCTACTTTGGATGTAAGTGGAAGCCTGGTGTATTTTTAGTTTCAGAGGCTAATAGGACCTTCTTGTCCATGCAGGATGAATCTGTTGCGTTACAATAGTACCCTTTCGAAGATGAAGAATTCTATGGCCTCCCTTTCTCAGCAGCTGAAAGCAAAGCTGGACTTCTTTAAAACAAGCATCCAGATTGATCTGGAAAAGTATAAAGAGCAGATTGAATTTGGAATTAGTGAGTATAGCATCTGGCAAACAGGTCTTTTCATGCCTCTTATCCTCACTAAAACAACTACCTCTTTCTCTGTGGACCTGAGAAAGCCAGTCACTCTTCTTTGATTCCTGTAGCTTCTGAGAAGCTGCTGTTTGCCTGGAAAGAGATGGAGCAAGCTGTGGAACTTTGTGGGCGGGTATGTTTCTAAATCTCACTGCTTATCATAAAGAAAAAGAGGCTTGTTTTTATTATCTTTCCCCTCCTCCCCCTTTTCCTTCATTATCCCTGCCTTAAATAGAAACTCCTTGTCTCTCGACCGATTCCAGACTTCACATTGCTTTGGTTTGCGTGGCACCGTTTTTGTCCATTATTAGCACTACATGAAGCTCACTCTGTTGTAAGACTTAGGGGAAAAAGGGAGATCTTGGGGAAACTCCAAAAATGTCTTGGAAGTAGTTTTATCCAAGAGCACTGACCTAATTTTACCTTGAATTGAAATGACTCATGTTCTCATTCGTCTTTGGCCAAAGCTGCTGTTTGCATTTTGCTGGTGTGTTTAGAAATATGAATGAGAAAGGAGGAACCAATGTGAGTGGTAGTGTCTCTATGTATGAGACTGTTTTGTTGCTTATGTTCTACCGTGCTTTCAGGAGGATGATGTGGACCAGCTAGTGAAGAGGATGATGGCCCTGCAGACAGACATTGTGGATCTGCAGAGAAGCCCACTAGGTCGTAAACAAGGAGGAACACTGGAGGATCTGTGAGTTGAACTACCTTGAGCTACAGATGCAGGAGTGCTTCTAGCTAAGCTTACTCACTACGGGACAATGAAAGGGCTGTTTCTTCCACTGAAATTATGGGGGATGGGAGAACTTTAACACTAAAGATGGTTTTTGACCATTTTTGAGAGATGTCTCATTGGTCTGAAATGGCAGACAGGTATACAAAAGATTTGAGTTCTCAAACTATTTGTTCTCAGTTTTGATTCTTGGGGAATCCTTTGTTTTTTCCTGCTTTTTTCTTCTAGAGAAGAACAAGCCAGAGAGCTATACCGAAGACTGAGAGAGAAGCCAAGAGGTAAAAGACACTTTAGCTGAAGGTCAGCTTGCTTTGTGCGGATAGCAAGTTTGGAGATGTAGTAATGATCACTGAGAAAACTGTTGGCCTTCTAGGCCTGCCCAGGCACTAGCAGCACGCCGACTCTCCCAGACTTGCCTTTCTTTCGAGAGGGGAGTCAGGGAGTCAGTTTCACACTAGGCCAGCCTTCCTTTCTTGGTGCTTTGTAAGCTGTTCTCGAAACTCCTCTGGAGTTCTTCTCAGAGCAGGCTGTTGCCACAAGTATATGCTGCTGCTTCTGTGTAGGAAGGATGAAAGACACGGCTGTTCCTTTACAGTTGCAACTCTCCTTTTTAAATTCTTTAAATTTTGAAGAAGATGGCTAAAATTCAGTGTAATTCATCCCACCCAAACTCACATATCCTGAACTTTGGATCAGTTTCAGGATTGAAGCAGTAGTGGAAACAAGCCACTAAGAAGCTTCTCACTCTATCGTATAAACTTACCTTTCTGTGTAATACTGACTCTCATTCCAGATCAGAGGACAAGTGGTGACAGCCAAGAAATCGTACGACTGCTCCTACAGGCAATCCAGACCTTTGAAAAAAAAGTTCGAGTCATTTATGCTCAGCTCAGGTGAGCTTTGTAGATTTTACTCAGCTGAAGAGAAGACGTTTTCTCTTCCAGCAAGAGAAGGTTTAAAACTCAATGCATACAGCTAATGAGATCTTGCCGTGTTACAGGAAACAAGTAACTTCAGAAATGTTCTCCTAATGCAGTGGCCCATGTGTGATCTGATTAGTTTTTACTTTTTTAATAGTAAAACTGTGGTTTGCAAACAGAAGGCATTGGAATTGTTCCCCAAAGTGGAGAAAGTGATGAATCTGATGAGTGAAGATGAGGAAACAGTTGTTAGGCTTCAGGAGAAACGACAGAAAGAACTGTGGAACTTGCTGAAAATTGCTTGTGTAAGTAAAATAAAAACTCCACTTTAACCTGAGAATATGGTTTGTAGCACAGGTTACTGAAATAATAGTAAATTGAGTATGTCCTATAGTTCTTTCCTTTATTTTGAATTAGTATTAAAGCCAAGTTCCAGGTTATCTCATATTCCTGGCTGCTGAAAACTAGTGGAAATAATTGCACTCTGAATATTCTGTGTTTTCTTCAGAGTAAAGTACGTGGTCCTGTTACCAGCAGTCCAGAGAGCGTGAATGTATCACGTCTTGGTAGCTCGGGCCAGCTGGTGCTGCAGGTCCCTTCTGGAACATATGATTTATCAGAGTCTGTAAGAAGAAGGTGAGGCAAAGTCTGGAGTTCTTCAGCTGCTATGCCAGCACTACAAAGCTGGGCTTCCTGCATTGTGAAATAGTGGCACACAGTGTTTCTCATATTTTATACTTTATGTAAAATCAGCTTCCATTGTCAGCAGTCTTGGTTTACTTAGTAGTTAGACTTCCTGGGGCTTGCAGATCTTCCTTACGAAAAATGGGAAATCATGTGTAGCTTCACTTCCCCTTGTCTCAGTAATAAAGGTGGTTTCTTGGTTTTCTTCCTTAAATCTAAGATGGTTGGGCTCACTTGGAAGTACACTGCCAGCAAGAACTGTTGAAGCACTGTCATGTAAGGTTACAGTCACTGAGCTGTATCACTTGAGGAGACTGCTGTAACCAAGCACGTGTAGTTCCAGCTTGCTTAAATGAAGCAGGTCACCACTTGGAATGAGAGACCTTGGTTTGTTTTTTTGCATGTTGCCCCATCCTTAAGTTTATAGGCTATTCTCTGCTTTTTCTCTAGCAACAGTGGTTCCACATAAGAACCCAATCTGATCTTGGGATACATTTCCTTTCCCCTGTCCAGTAAATCAGGGGTTGGCACCAACTTTTCAAGTCCCAGTAAGAATTACAAGCCTATGACCTGGCCAATGTCGGTGTTCTGCAGAGTATCTGCCAAAAATATTTCTTAATGATAGAGGCAGCATCTCTTTAAATTGCCATAGAAATTAATAGCGTAATAATTGTCCCCTTCAGTGAGGAGCTGCTGCTGGAGTCTCGGAAACTTTGTAGCCAGCTAGAAAACGTGATGCAGGACACAATGAAGGATCAAGAGCAGAGTTTTTTGGTAATGTATTCATTCTTCTGTAAGTTGACTGGAGAAGGGCATGGCTTCAAAGTTCTGCTTGTTCAACTTTGCCACCACTAATACAGCTAATTGCAATCTGCCATTTACTCTTGGACAAGGGGAGGGTAGGAGTGCAGAGATAGGAAGCACCCGTTCCCTCATAATCTGCTGACTGACATACTCTGCTTGCTGAGACTGGGAGCCACGTACTGGGAACTTGTTGCGCTGAACAGCAAAGGATGGGGCAAAGCAATTGGCCGTTGTACAAAAATATTGCAAAACCGCACACAAATTTGGGGCAATTGGGTGGCAGTACAGTGGTGGGCAGGGATGTTTAATTTAATGATGCAGAATATTAAAGAGTAAAATACTAGAGCGTGCAAGCAGGTTAAGTCTTTCTTTGACAGCAATCACATGGCTCATCATGAAATTACATTGACCAACTAGTTCACAGTAAATTTTTTAAAACTCTTAACATGCTTCCCCTTTATTCTAGAGAAAGCTCAAATGTAAGCTAGTGTTGAACTTTGTTTATTCTCTAGGCTCTAGACTGGAGCTGGCTGCAGCTTCATGTAGAAGAAACAAACAGTCCAGAACAAACCCAGATGTAAAATCACTTTGGTTGCCTCTGAAGCCATGCTACTTTGGGAAGCCAACTGTGAAAACTGCTGCCTCTCAGAAGGGAGTATCAACTGCCTTCTTCTACAGTCACCAACTGCTTATGTGATACATGTGGCCTAGCTTTTAGTATCCACTTCTCAGATACTTTTTCACAAAGATACAGTAGGGAATGCCTGTTCTAACTGCTTGGAAAATGTTCTTAATTGTGCCTTAAGACAGCAGATACTCTGTCCTGATATATCTTCCCTTAGGCATCACCTGTGGCTGTTTTGCTGCATTTTAGGCTTTCAAATGAACAATGGACAAGAACCCAGTCACTGGTAGATGTCCCCTTCCTAATGAACTGTGAACTTAATTTCTTAACTTTGCTGATTTGCACTTTTTTTCTTTAAGTGTAATGGTTGTACTTACCGAATACTTGTTTCCTCTATGGGAACGAAATTATCTAAAACGTGTAAACTTTTGGTTTGCTCTTTTTGATGCCCTCAATAACATTATAATGGAAAAAGCTGCTTTCACTGTGCAGGTGTCTAAAACATGAGAGGTGTAAGAATGTTGTCCTAGAAACCACAGGAGAAGGAAATCTTCAGTGTACAGTTATTGTATAACAAAACAGTTGCAGATTATCTATTAACCATGCATAAAGTTGCATGAAAAGAAAAGACCAAAAAACCCAGCTGGAAGGAACCTCGGGGAGAGTCAACACACGCCAAACTTATGTTCTGACTGTGACCATTTTATTTCATTCTGATGTAACCCCAAATTTCCCCTACAGCACAAAGACCTCCTTTTATAAAAGCCTGTGAAGTATAGGACATGCAAAATGCAATACAATAATGGGGAGAGGTTGGATTTTCTTCTGGGTTTTTGTTTTTTTTTTTTTTTTTTTTTTTTTTTTTTTTTTTTTTTGGAACAGATTTAAAATACAGGAAACTGAAATGTGGCACAAACATCACAACTTCCATGCATGCCTTCAAGTGTCTTCCTTTGTTGTGCTGGAATATTCTGGACTTCAGCATTGGGTTAAAGTCATTCTTGGGAAGAGTAGAAAGTTCACACTTCTTCAAATTTCTGAGTAATATTAAGGCTGAAATGCACCGGGTACAGTTTTCCTTCATCTTCCAGAACACCACCAGTTATTTTATTTAAAGCTATGTTAAGCTTCCAGCTCAAATCCCAGACCAATTTTGTGACCTCCAGCACTGAAATTCTTGCCATCAATCAAGCTTGAGAGGGTCAGCTTTACACCTACAAAAGCAAGTCATGAGATCCATCATACACCGAGATCCCTGTAGAGTGCTCTCCCTCAGCTACTTGACCTCACTACTGTGGCTTAGTTGCCACAGGAACTTGTCTGCATAGACATCCTTTACTTCTCTGAATCTGTGTAAAAACTTCTAGCTCCTTTGGTGATCTATTCCGTTCTTAAGATGACAGTGGATTAAACCACAGTGTAGTACTTAATACTATGCTGCTATGAGTGAGAATTACGTACCAGGTCGGAGGGTCTGAGTGTAACCAATTCCAATGAGACTGGCATTGTTCACTTTAGCCTACAAGAAAAAAAATCATCACAGTATTTATAAACTGTGTTTAAGTAGTCATACAGAAGTGTCCCAGTACCTTGAGAAGGTGGCTTATGCATTAATGTTCTTCAGCTACTTGTAGACCAACCTCTATTAGAACATGTTTCAATCTTTTCCCTTTCTAGGGAGTTTCCAGCTTAAGCCAGACAGTGGTCCTGTTCTGCCTACACAAAATGCCATGCTGTTCATCACTGCCTTCTCTATTATGTCTTTATATCCTTTAAAGAGCTATACACTCCCTCTGAGCCTGACTTGTTCACTTCACTTAGGAGTGATTTTCTTTTTTCTTCCAGTGAGCTAGAAATACATGAATATGCAATCCCCTTTTTGCATTACTACGTTTTGAGCTCTTTACAATAGTACTGATCATCTTTAATTTTGGTTCAATGAACTAACTGCTGTTTTGAAACATAAATGCTTGCTACTTCAGTTCTTAGTATTAAAACAAACACGTCAGCTGACTTTCAAGGGTTAACTTACTGTCAGGAGAAGGTTGTAAGCTCAGCTGAACTTCCACCGTTGTAACTATAATAATAAGGTTTGACATTATGGATTTAAGAATTAAAAAGACATTGCGTCCTTTTGTTACCTCTTAAAATACGTTTTACACCACACTAGTGCACTATTCCGACTTTCACTATGGACAAAATTATATTTTAGTTTTCTTTTCACCCCTAATTTCACAAGTATCATGTATGAAGTCCCAATTCAACTTTGAACCGCAACAGAAGCCACAGTTTGCAATCTACCGTACTTCCTTGGTAACTAGTTAAAGCAACTGCTTCATAACACGAATTTTCTGTATCTAGGGGAGCTTGAAATACTCGTTTCTGTAACAAAATTCTTACCACAACAGAAGTCTTCTCATCCATTTGGTACTTTGCAGCAATACCAAAACGTGTGTTGTTACTGCCAGCGGTCCATGCCAGATTGACTGATGTCTCAACGTTATCATTAACCTTCTGATAAATAGACCCACCAAACTCAGTGCCATCATTCCTGTTTGTAATACATGCAAGCGTGTCAAGCCTTGCCTTGTTTAGTAACTTTAGATTAATCCTTCCCCACAATCATTTGATCATTATCTCCTAAAATGAACCAAGAGATCCAATACTTCCCTGAACCTAGGCTCACTACTTTCTAGGTGGAACGGGCAGACTCCTGCTCATATTTTTCTACACAAAACATGTTTTGCTTGCAGAATGGAGCAAGACTTTCTAACAGCCAGAGAACTACAGTTTGAAGTTCTGACCAGAAAAAAAAAAAATCCAAAACCTACCCAGATAACCTGGTTGCTTGTCTGAAGTAAGCCAGCGTGCAGTAACACATAAGAACACATAATTCAGTTACGGGAATGAGAAGACTGAAAACAATGTTGTTGCATTACAATTGTTTAAATACATCTTCAAAGCATCTCAGGCCATCTGAATGCCAAGACTAGAGCTATGCAGTGATGACAGCTGGAAACAAACACAATGCTACACATGCCTTTCTCCTTCACCTTGGGCATTTCTGAGGGAGAAACTTTCTGTTTGATGGAGAGGGTGAGAAGGTACAGTAGTTTAACTGAAGGCAGTTTTGTCTCGTGCCGTAAGAGAAGTTAAAGCTCACAGCTTTTAATTACAAATTACCATAATGTGCCTTTACATCACCATATTAGATGTACAAACCCCAAAATTACTCTGAAACGAGGTATCAAGACAGCTGATTGTTGGGAAGTTGCCCTTATTCCAGTTGTACTGGAAATGAAAATACTGAATATAAATTAATTGTAAACAAATCGGCATCCCCTTCCCTTCACCCACCTTTGACCTAAGGCCATTACTGCAAACTATTCCTACAGTTCGCCTCCTCTGAGAATGTTTTATCTAGGCTCAGGTAATACTTACACATTAGTGTGCAGTTGAAAGTCCCCTGCCTTATATCCCAAGGCAAAATTATTTTGTGTAACCTTATACTTGGCTGTATCAAAAGCCATCTGGTAGCCAGCAAGCCAGCCATCAAAGCCCAACACTGCCCAGCCATAAAGGGTTGGTCCAGAGAGATCAATGTCTACGTTGCAGCCTACATGTATATAATCTCTTTTGTAGGAAGTCTTCAACTTTCCACTCTTCTTCCTGCAGAGAGAAACATGCAGTTTTATCTGCTCTAGTATACAAGTATGTGATATATGTAGTTTTATTCCAATATGTACGTCTCTTAAGGCCAGTTGATGAAACTACTGTAATCCCTACTCAAAACTCAACTGCTGCTGAAGAGGGCGCAGGATAAGGATAATGGTGTTACCTATATTCACGTGGTGCCACTTTTCTCCCTACTGCCTCAAACTCCCTACAATCCTCAAGAAGCCAGAAAGACAGAATCATTTCTCCTTAATGCTTTAAAACTCATCTGGTTTCAAATGGTTCTTCTCTGCAAGTGTAATGCATTATGGCAACAAATGTGTTTCTTTCAGGAGCATCCATAAACCTGCAGCAACAGCTGTCTTTCAATTAATTTTTCTCTGTTTGGTTCTCTCCAGTGTTGCTTCCTTGTGCAGCACTTGCCTTCCCTTCTTCACTGCTGGGTACCAGTCTCCTCTACCAAAAACAGATTTCTTCATCCTCCAGACATCATCCATTTGGTCTGCCTTTTTCTGTCTCTCTTGTGATACCTCTTCCTCTCTCCAATGCATGTCCTCTGTTGATTTTGCTACCAATTCAAACACAACTACAACAAAACTTCACCACCTCTTTAATTCTTTCCCCAATCTCCCTTCTCTTTGACTCAAGACACAGCTGAACATTTGTGCTGCCTGTTACTCACACCTAGGACTGGGGTCTCATTTTTTACTTAGCTTCTAATTCCTCATATCCAAGCAGTATTTCAAACTCAAGATTCTTCTGACAGGCTCTCCCCAACAATAAAGTAGTGCCAATCATTATTTGCAAAGCAGTCTCAATCTACCTTTTTGCGTTATGCAGACATAGACACCCCTCCTTTGCTCTATCACTTACCAAATTTAAGTACATGAGAATTGAGAAAGACAGCTAAGTGCTATTTCACTGCCCATTCTCTTCATTCAACTGTACACAGAAATCTGGCCAAAAGCATCATAAAAAAAAATTGTTTTACTGAGTTGACAGCCTTAGGACTGTCAACGCCACGAAGACCTAGTTGTTTAAGGGAAGTTAAGAGATCTAGTACCTGCTGCAAAACAGTTAATTTGCCACTGGCCAAAAAGCTGAAGAATGCTTTCAAGCAGAACTTGTCCTTCTGACTTAAGAATTATCCACTGCCTGCAGAACCTTCTCCAATAAATCCTGAGCTTTTACGCAACGAGCAGAATAAGATTTAGAAGTTATGGGAAATTCTAGTATTCCTTAGATAAAGGTAACAGAAAATGCTTACCCTGTGTTTGGTACAAATGTAGTGTCAATAGCCAGCTTCAACCCTGCAGCCAACTACAAAGAAAAATAGACATCTGCTCAAAAATCGGAAACATAATTTGCTATACTCCACTACTAGAACACTACTTCCTGTCTAAAGAGAAAACAAAATATGACCATAATGTCTCCCTCGTGATTTATAACGAAATCTGAAGATGCTGCATGATGAAGGATTAAAAGAGGACTTTTTCTTCCCACAATGAAGCCCTTTAACAGCAGACTTTGAAGGTATGTTTTTACATATGGGAAGATAAAACATCTAGTGCTGACAACAAGAAAATTATTCACAGAATAATGACAAAAAAACCTACTCACTTCATGTTTACTTATTCTTTATAGTTCAAACAGTCCATACAGTAAGCTCAAAAATCTCTCTCAAGATCTACAGCTATTCTGTTAAGAGACAGTACTTCTTCACAGGCCAAAGCACATACCCATCTCATTTTCCCCCACCTTTGTTATTACCTAGATGGCATTTTCCATTTTAAAGCACGGGTAGAAGTACAAACACGAATGGGCATGCATGGCAGACGGCACCACAGAATTTTTACTATCTTTGGCATCATTACCTTATACTCGAGGCATTAAATGAAAGGCATAAACCTATTAATGTCAGAAAGAACTGTGTTTTGAGAGCAGTCCTTTGTGTAAGCAGTGCCAAGCTGCAAACACTCATCTTTCTCTTCAATCTTACAAAGTATATTCAATCTCAAGGCAGCCAAACTTGAGTGCTTATACATTAAAGCATTTAAAATTACGAGACCTGTCTTTGTTTTCCCTGCCCGATGCAGCAGTGACAGTTCTATGTAGTTAGGTTCATTCAACCAGCTAGGTAATTCCCCACACCTGTAACTGCAGTAACTGTACCCCTAAATCATTACAAGCAACACATGGCTCTGAGAATGCCAGCAGCCCCCACTCCCAGCCTGCGTGTTCTGCAAATATATGTAACTTCTTTTAATACTCCAGATACTACTGTGCAATTTTCGTTGTCCAGTGTTTTCTGTTCAACTCAATACTGTCTCGTACCAGTTGCAGAAACATTTCCAAAGTATCTACTTGGTCTTACCTGATTCTCAACAGAAACTTCTGTTCCCAGTGTGTTATCCGTGTTCCACTTCTGGATGAATGTCAGTCCCTGGTCTTTGACCTTATATTTGGTCTCTAGACCGCCTGAAGCCTTGCCTGTGTCCGTGTTGGAAGAACCGGTTGCAGTGAATTCCTGTCAAGAGTACAATATCACAGAATCACAAAACCGCCTGAGTTGGAAGGGACCCAGAAGGCTCATCCAGTCCAATTCTTATGTGAATGACCCATACAGAGATCAAACCCACAACTTTGACGTTATTAGCACCATGCTCTAATCAACTGAACTAATCACAGGATCATGAGTTTCAGCACTCTTTAATTACATTCAATTTTTCCATGTGTCGAGTGTCAGCACTCATACCCTCAGGCCTTTTGACAGAACCCTCAAAATCATCATCCACCTCTTCCTTATCCCCGCCTAAAATGATTTCTTTTGCATCACAACATGCTACTCCTTCTGGCATCTCTGTTCTGAATATTTCTTTTATTGAGGTGTACCGATAGAGCCTTGGAATTTCCCTAGGATGGCAAAAGCTGTATTACACGAAGACCCAACACCTTCATTTACTTTTCATCGTGGGAGTTTGATTACTTGCTCCCCCATCTTAACTGTACCACACTTTTCCCCAAGCGTATCCATCAAAAAATCCTTTTTCTGACTTTCATTGCCAAAGTGGCAGTTACTTCAACATTCCACAATTTGCTTTGTACCTTCACATGACTCCCTACCCAGACATAAAAAGATACTTGCTTGGGATACAAAGCTGTATATATACCTGGATTTTTCTTCACAGCCTCCTCTAATTCTCTTTATCATCTTACTAGTACTGTGGATTGTGGATGAAAAAGCACCTATTGCAGTCCTGGAAATCTGCTCCCCCTTAGGAAAAGCAATCCTACATTCAAGTTACACTGTTAGATGAATAGCAAAAAGAAAAGAGGAGTTTTTTCTCACATTTCTCCAAGTATCTTGTGTGTTTCTTCATTGTAATAATTTTCCCCCCTGTGTTTCAGCAGTGAAAATGTCTTCTGGAGAACCAATGCTTTTCATACCGACTACTGCTAACTACATTTCCTAACACTGTGGTTCCCCGTACTGTTTATGCTATTGTCATTTAGACTCTTCATATACTTTGGTGGTAACTTTAGTATCTTCCCCCACAATTTCTCTTTCATTACTTCAGCCAGTAACTCCACTTTGGAAGCTAAGTAACTCTTCATATGGCACCTTCAAATTGTAGACCTTTTCTCCTTTACACTATCAGAAAGTAACATGACCCCAGCACCTTGACACGCTCTGTCAGGTTGATCCTTCACTGAGTAGTGTAATAGAACCAACATCTTTGAATTTTGTATAACATGGATTTTGTAATAGGCTATTCAGTCAGTCCTCCACACATCAGAGCTTCCTGTTATTTAGTGGACTGGAAGTCTCAATGTACATCTCTCCTGGAACAGCTCAAGAGATAGTCTACTCAGTGTTTCATGCACAGCTGAGTATTAAGCAGTGAACAGGCATATTGCCACAGTAGTAAGCTCAAGGTGTATGAGGAGCAAGGTTTTAAGAAGATCTGAGAACTGCTCTCATTTGTTATCCTCATCTCTCAAATATTTCCTTCGAAGGAAGATAAATAATCTGTCACTACATTTACAAGTTTTGTCTCTCTTGAAGTTTAAATATTGAAAGATACCAGTGCTTAAGAGACGGCAGGATCCATTCCCAACATACCCAAGCTTTGGAACCCTGACTTTCCAGATCTTTCTGATTCCAGGATTGTATTCGTGGATGTACATTACTTTCACAATTCTGGAATTTGCAGAGCATACAAGGATACAAAGACTGTCTTTAAATGGTTGCGAAGTGCTTGGGAGCCAGGTCACATTCCTTACACGAAGCTTGGGGTGGTGAGGGATGCTGCTGGGACAGGAGGGGACACTTACTTAAGCTAATGCACTACTGCAACAGCACAGCGGTTGTAACACACCTAGCCAGCTAACAAAAACACGTGACGGAAGTCAGGATGTGTTAAGACTACTATAAGACGTAATTGCTATATAGTGTTCTAGTGTGACTTCCACAAATGCTGTGTAAAGACATCTCAAACCCACATCAGAATTCAGAAGTAACTTTCTTCTAATCTTAGAACAGGTAACTGATTAAAAAAGCTTAGTTTCTTTCTCAGATCAAGCAAAAGACAGACTGTAAACACTTGTCTCAAAGCCAAAGGAAATAAAAAGCCCTGCACTGTCATATGATCAAAAGCCAAAGCATCCTGTCAGGCGTCAAGAACTCAATCTGCTTCTGGAAGCAGATTGCCACAGAGACAGAAGTCCGCTGCCATCAGTCTTTATCGGTGTAAACCAGAACGTCTCACCAAACCGTAATTTCTTGAATTTTTTGTAGCTGAAGAATCCAACTCATTCTGGCTCCATGTCACACGCCAGTCTGCATGAGCAGTTAAGCGTAGCTTCTCATTGTCCTTCTAGTTTATGGTGCCCGGCATCTGCAGGAATGCCATGCACTTAGTAGGCAAAACCGCTCACAACCTATGAAGCAGTTTTAATCAACAGACAGAATCATTGTGGTTTTCTAAGTCTACAGGTATCACCGTTGTTTTCTAAGTCCACGGGAAAAACACCCAAATGTTTGTGTTTTAACTATCGGAGGTACTATTAGTATCCATGCACGAATCAGATCTCATGCTTTGTACCTAACTTCATCTCCATCCACAAAACTCTAATTTGTTGCATCAGAATCTTCATCAGAAACACTAACAAGCTCAAAACCTGAAGCAACAGACAACTGTACCAATACCGTCTCTATCATGTTTTCCCTCTCACTGTTTTTACAGTGTTCTCCTTGCGAATTGTTGGACAAAGACCGCAAATGGCTTTACGCACATGGATCACACAGCAGATCTAGAGCTATGGACACAGGCAAGCTGCACAATGTGAATAACAACATGACTAAAAACAATTCAACAGTTTACAAATGACTTACTGTGCAGCACAGAAAGCCTTGTCAGACAAAGCAATAAAGAGCCAACATGTCAAAACATTATTCTTACCAACTGGATAAATATCCAAAGAAAATTGCATGGAAAAGAAAAAGCCCATTTTAGAACTTAATACAATTGTTTGTATTCCATCACAATCAGAAGACAGCATAATTAACTATTAGCATATTATTTGAGAATCAAAACTTCCAGCCAGGAAAATTGCCTATCAAGAGATGTCAGTAAGCGGAGGGAGCCACAGTAGGGAGACCATAGTTCCTCATGCCCACAAATTCCTGGTGCACAATGCAAGTAATCATCTAAAGCTCAAGTGAGACAGAATACAGTAATGCAAAATTAAGGACTTAACACCACTTGCACAGTAAGAATGCAAGAAAAGGAGGGAGCTCAGGCAAATACGGTCACAAAGTAGGCTGAAAAGCGGCTTGTCTTACCAATCAGAACAGCACTGAGCTGTAAGATATGCAGAATTCAGAGTCAGCGTAAGAAAAATATTATCTAGTAAATAATACATGCCCATGCTTAAAGACCAAAATTATGACACCTATTCCTGGTTTTGCCAGCCCTCCTGTGAAATTACGAAGAAGCTCCACTTCTCCATCATTAAAATGGGGATCACACAATATTCTTATTATTTGGAATGCTAAGCTCTCAAATTCTATGTACTGGTACTGCAGAATGACTGTTCTTAGGTTCAATTAAGTCTTGAATTTTAAGCACAGTGGAAATGAGTGAAAATGCAGTTAAGTTAAACTCTGGTGCTTATTTGTCCCTTGACCTTTTGGATAAAAGTCCCTCCAGACTAAAAATCCTGTGAAAACTAGTAACAGCAGGGAACTCAATTCCATTTGTAAGTCGAAATGAGAGCTATGTAAGGTGAAGAAACTCATGTTTGGGATGTGTCAATGGAACAATGAGGAAAGCAACCGTAAGGTGCAGGAAAATTCTTGCACACCACAGGAAAAGAAGTACTGCTACATCAGCTACATACTATTGCAGAAATATCTCAGTCAGCTATGAGTTTTAAAATGAGAAATGAAAGAGAGAAGAAACACCTGCTAGCAAGTTAGTATTTGTTACCGATTCAGGAATTTATCCTTCCGTTGCTACACTGCTGATGTTGAAAGCCTCCAATACTTACCACCCCAGTGGAAGATTTGGTCTTCAACTCTAACTTGACCATTCCAAATCCTGAAAGTAAAATAGCACACAGTGCCTGTTTCACTGAAAGATACAAACAAGGTTTATTTTCAACATACCCAAAGCATGCCAGGTAAGGTACGCTGGCCTGAAACAGCCTATTTTCATGTTTAAACAGTAGTTGATCATACTGAAGGGTTACAAGGATTATGAGAAGAATGATTGAAGGAATTTTCACAACTCAAAGTAAGTAGCCTAATAATTTAGTCATAACAGATACCAACCGTCAAGCAACTCCACCTTCTGTAGCTACCTGCAGTCTAGGACCCATCAATATAGTTAACCATCTCTTCAGATTTACTTAGTTTATGTTTTACTTCCGACTGCACGGTGGGAAATTTTCCTTTTCCTCTACTCCAAAAACATACATTTCAACTTACTTTAATCAGTGCCACATACAGAAGTACTATTGCTTTCTTCCTTTTCTGTCTGCTCTGAATCTAGGGAAATATCTGGCCCTTGCACTAGATAGAAAAGCCTGAAGTAAGTGACACTAAAGTAGGGAACTTGAATTGACTTTTAGCAAAGCCTGAAGTCCAGGGTGGGAGAGAGCAGACCACAGTGCATGTAAGTTTTATGTAGCATATGGATTGGGGATACAAATGAAATCTTTATTGCACACAAAATCGGATAGAGAAAAAAATCAACACTTTCTAGTACTGTTTTCAGAAAAGGGACAAATGCAAATACTGTGAAAATATTTGCACTCCAGCTTTAACAATAAGCTATTCTGATTAACGTAAAGGTCACTCTGCTTCAGGAACCCGTTGACTGCTACAGTCTCCTGTAGCAATCTAAATCAGTATCCCTGATTTAATGGCTCTAAATGGAAAAATCAGAAGGTTAAAAGAGTTATAGAGTGCATATTAAGGTTAAACTTGTAACATTCCCCTTGAACTCATTGCCACTGCAGTAATTTCATAACACATGTGTCCAAAGTTCAGACTCAGAAGGGGCTAGATTCTTCAGGGCTCTGCTGATTTTCTGCCATAAGGTATTAGGAAGTCTCTGATGTACTCATGTTCTTACTGGCATTTTCAAGATACCTAAGAAAAAAATATGAAAGGTGATCAAATCATCCTCATCTTACTTACCATATCCCTTGTTGAAAACATCCCTGGCAGACTTTCCCAAGTCACTGTACGACGGTGGGACAGCCATTGCATCTGAAACATATGGGAAGCTGTAAGAATCTTAGATGTAACAGCATAAAATATAAACTATATCCAAAGCATTCATAAATGTCTATGATTAGTAGTCTCCAAGTACGTCACTGATACAGAACTGTCAGATCTGTGAAGAATGTTCATCAAAGTCATCCTCACATCATTGTCGCTTTGTCAGAAACAAGCTTCGATTCAAAGAGCTTACGAAAGCCAATCAATTATTTAGAATCACTGAACCCCAGCTATTACATTCGACTACGTATGCTGGCCTTGCAGTCTTACATTGCAAAAAGAACTCAGGGTAGCCTTACTGCCGTTCTGATAGTGAGGAAACATTCCTTTTGTGACAAGACCCATTCTGAAAGGGACCCCAAGTGCAAACGACATCTATAGTTAACAATTCCAAGGAAAGCAGCTGTCATTTCCATCTGCACTTGTGACTTCCTAGAAAGTGAGTATTGCTGCACTGCGCTCACAGAGCAGCAAAAACGAAATTTGCTTATAGGGGTACATTTCCTAATACTGTTACAATTACGTAGGAGGACAAAGCTCGAAAGGGTGGACATATTACATATGCTGTAATATTACAGCGTAGGATGATACATTTTGTTAGTTACTGCAATTTAGGGATTTTGCATCAGACAGCCCGCAGTAAAGAAGCAGACAAACTCCTCCCCAGCGGAAAATGTCTTCCCCTTCTAAAATAAGTTTGCATAAATGTAAAGGCACACCTGCTCCAGAAGACAAAAGCTATCAAAGATGCTTCTTTCATTTGAATTTAAGAGCACTTCTTTGCCATTCCTACTGCTGATGCATTTGTTCATATTCTTCTCTGCAACACGCAACCAGAAATCCCTGATCCCCCATTTGTTTTTACCAAACTGAAAGACTAATCTTAAAAAGCAATAATGTGAACAAAATATATGGAAGTCCTCGAGTTATCGCTTGTCTTCCACCATTTTAGTCGCTTACTGGTGTACTCAGTTTCTCTGTCGTGAATGCAGCACTACTGTCGTGCTTTCAGACAGTCAGCCCTTCCTAAAATTAAGCACTTGGGGAATTTACACAGCATAGTATACAAATGCTCTTTGTTCAGTGACTTAGTAACTAAACCACAGTATAAATCTATCAGTACACAGGCTCGATGGTCCTTGTGGATTCCTTCCAATCTAGAATATTCTATGGTTCTATACATACCTGTGGGTTTAGAGATCTGGAGCCCATGAAAACATTACAGAACACTCCACGATCATGATCCGCACCTTTGGCGGCGGAGCCGGAGGGGCGGCGGCTGCGCGGCCCCGGAAGCGCGAGCGCCGCCGCCGCCCCGACCCTGTCCGCGTTACGCATCGGGTAACGGCGCGGGCGCGCTCCGGCGCCTCTTCCTCTCCCTGGCGAAAGGCCGGCGCCGTCGGAACCCTCGGTCGCAGCCGCCCCGCAAGCTCGTGCCTCTCGGCCGAGAAACCAGAGTGGCTGGCAAGATCCCCGGCCGCCCGGTCTCAGAGACAGAGCCGGGCCCCGTCCTGGGGCTGCCCCTTCGGCAGCCCGTGGCCCTGAGGACGAGGAATTGTCGCCAGAGCGAGCGGCCGGAGCTGCCTCGGGCCTCTGGCCTAACTCCGCAGCGGCAAGGTGACTCGGGGGACGCCCGCCTCGGCCTCGGTGAGGCTCAGAGGACAACACCGGGCTCCAGCCGGACTGCGCCGCGGGACTCGACCCCACCTGGCCCACCGCAGCCCCGGCCCCCGCCGCGGCCCCGGCGTTACCTGCCGCCCGCGCTCCTCCGGTACGGCTCTCGCGCCCCCCCCCGTCCGCATGCGCGGCGCCAAGGCTGCGCACGCGCCCCGGCTCCGGCCCCGCCCACCTGGGCCGGCTGCCGCCGCGCGGCCCCGCTCCGCCCCGCGCGCGGTCAAGGCATGGCGGCGTCGCGGGACCGCGCTCAGGAGCGCGCCTCGGCCTCCTGCCGGTGCCACGAAAACACAGCACTGCAGCCGGAGCCGCCTCTGGTCTCGGCGGCCTGTATGAAGTTGTGCTTCGGAGGGACGGAGGAGGCCTGCGGAGGTACTCAGTGCCGCATGCCCCGCGCCCACGCAGCTGCAGGCAGCCCTGCCTCACACAGTCTGTCAGAGTCGGTATGAGACTCCCGCGGGCACTAAAGGTCCTCTCAAACCCTTCACCCACCGTAACAACAAACCTCCTTAACTCATTGTCAGCCCCGTTTGGAAGTTCTGCACAAACTCCTTAAGGCCCCTATAGCCCTGAAACAAAGGAAGGAGGCAGGTCCACCCAATCTTAAGGTAAGACTCGGTAACTGAGACAAAACCAAACACTGACAGAATGGTGCAGCAAGTATCCTTGACAAAGCCCAACTGTTATTCTGCACATAAATAAGGTTGTCTATGCACCCAAACGAGACTGTGGTACATGCCCAATCATGCAGATTCCCTGTGACAAGGTTCACAGCTATTGCCTCCCATGATTACCAAAAATCTTGCAGTCTAGTACAAGTCTAGAAGAAAAGCCAGTCAACTGAGATCTAGGGAGCAGAGAGAGAAAGGAGAGAGAAAAAAAAGACACAATGCACATTTATGTAATTCACAGAAAACATGCAAGCTCTCTCAAGAAGCCTTTTTTTTTGCATATAGAAGAATTCACAGTATTATGCAGAGAGACCGCAAAGCCGACAAATTCTGTTTCAAGGCCGAAGACAAAGTAGTCTTCTGGGCTACCTGTTGGAGAATGCATCGGTGTAATGCTGTGTGCTGCCCAGGAAACATTTGTAAACATGGTAAACGTGTGTTACTGCTTTTTGATCTTCTAAAATTACAGCTAATAAAATAGTAATCAAATGCCATTACACATTCATGATGGAATATTCAATTAATTTATTCCCACTGATTACTGAAGAAAATACTAAATACATCTGCTATATATTTTTTTACAATGAGGCATCACAACACTTCACATAGTACCAAGTTAACTTCTAGCTACCTTACATACTACTGCATGCATTACCACCGGGGAACACTCCCAGAAAATAATTAAAATTTCCAACAAGAAAACTGGAAGAAAATAAATGGGTGAGTAAGAACATTAGCCTATAATTTCTATTACTAAATTGATCAACTCTTCTTGTATAAGAACAAATTTTAAATGTAGTTGTTCTGCAGGCTTAAGTGAGATTAAAATAAAAATAGTATTATGTTTGTTTCATGATTCAGGTTCAAGTTAAGTAGTCTGACTATACAAAATCCTCTCTGCCCTCATAGACACCGATAGAGAACCTAAGCATTAAGAAACCAAGAGAAGTATTATATTGTTAGCATTAGTCAATTTGACTATGTACAAAAGTCTCATCCTTTCAAGCTTGCAGTTCTGTACTACAGTTGCCTTACTGCTTCAAGGTATTCAAACACAGTAGCAGCAATACATTCCATGCTCGTGCTCTGTAACATGTGAAAGCTAGTAGTTTACTACTTTGGAAAGTTTAAAGTTAACCAACAGAACCTGTCCCAAATACATGCATTCTTGAAGAGACCTCATCTCACATCCAAAATACTCATTACCTTTCCCAACAATTAAAGGGGAGGTATAAAATAAGATTTGACAGTTTTGCATATAAAAAAGGGCAGATTGAATCTACAGGAGTGGTAGCAGTGCATCAATTAATCAGACCGAGCTGAACGAAACACAGAGCACTGCAATCAATAGTACTACAACATACCTAGTAACAAAATTCACAGGTCACATGCAACGGGAGAATGGCTACCTTAGCATATAGCCCATACTGAAAGATTTTAGAAATAAGTACACAGGAAGGACTCATTATGAGCTTCAGCACTGCACCAAGACACTTAACACAGGTATGAGGAGATACAGACAGTAGTTGAAAATGGTACTCTTTAGGAGTACTTCATGATATAGCCCGCTTTTTCATTCTGGTATCTACATATATAAGATACAAAGAGAGACACTGGACCCCCCATCCCCGGAAACATTCAAGGTCAGATTGGACCAGGCTCTAAGCAATCTTCTCTAGTCAAAGATGGCCCTGCTCATGCAGGGGGACTAGACTACATGACATTAAGGGGTGCCTAGCAACCCAAATTATTCTGTGACTATATGAAAATGAAATCTCACAAGATTTATCTTCACGACACATTCTGTTCGAGTGCCACGGATTTGCTTTAAACATCAATAATACACAGTTTCTCAAGTAACATCCAAAGTAAGGCTATGCACTTTCACATGTTCGTAAGAAGCTGTGAAAACATCTCTCTAGGCTACAAACCTACACAAGCAGTTAAGTTATTCACTCCGATCCTTTGGCTCTCGGTATTTCCACTGGATATAGTCAAAGATGTCTTTTTCACATTCTACCGGCAGGGCCTCGCCAGCAACTCCTGCAAGCAAATTACACAGGCTATTTGAAAGGTGGAAAGTCCGTACTGTTCAGAAATGGCAAGTGCATTGCAAGATTAAGACAAAACTGCTGTAGGTAACAGATCTAAAAAACCCACCCAGAACAACCTCCCCACCCTCTGCGAAATTTTCATAGTGTTTACATACTGATTCTTATTAGCGTCAAAGGAAATAAGGAAATGAATTAACTTTGGTGCCATGTAGTTATGCAGTTCAATACATTTATAATTGTGTGGGTATATATAGTCACCTCTCCTCCAAAGCAAAGCAACTGAAGGACATGACATACCCTGTGAAAAGAGTAGGAAACCAAATATGTGCTATGCATGGTACAGAAAAAAATCTTTAAATCAGCAAGACGTTAAGTAGATTAGGAGGCCCAGAGGTAACTTTGTGCCGCAGAGCTGCCTGTGTGTAAGCAGGCTGCCCCTTCTTGCTGTAATGGTGCCCAATGCAAAAAGATGACAGCAGGAAAAATTTCACAAACTACAGCATTTATTGGAAGCATTTCCAAAACATCGCAACCAATTGAAGGAGATCACACTAAGTGTGTAGCTAGAAAGAATACTCTGTGCAAAAGCCCAGACTGACCAGTAACACCCAAGCGGCGTATTGTATATTCATTGATTGTGAAGCCCATTTCCAGAGCGTGAGTTCTCATGTTCTTATTGAATATATCACTTCCTGTGAAATACAGTACACCACAGTAATACTGATCTTTTGGGATAAGCCTAGAATAAAAAAGTAGAAGTGAAGATTTAGGAGAAATATATAACCAAGAAGTAAGAAACCATTTAGAATTCAGTCATTCAGACACGTGTAGGTTTACTTTGTATTTACGTGTCTACATTCTGCAGTCTACATTCTGCAACTCCATACATTTTATTTTTCCACACGCCAGATGTGAGAGTGAAAGGAACTGCATATGAAAGAAAGATTCAGTGTATCTACCCTTACCCAGAATTACTGGTGTTCAGCTGCTACCTGGTTGTGGTGCTTGCACTCCTGCCGAGAATCAATGTCAAAGCAGGATGATAAAATAGGACACAATTCTGAATGTGAATAGAATATCATGATTTGAAGCACAGCATCATTGCCAATAACCTGTTAGTTACTGGCAGTTGTCCAGTGGCTGCCATTCTGCAAAGGCATTAGGAACCTAGTAAATGCCATGTTCTGAACATAGAACGCAAAAATTGATGCAAATGCCTACTCTGTAGCAGACAAAGTAGGGGTGTGGGGTTTTGATGTGTGTACCGGATATCAATTCTCCGATGTGGATAGGCTGTTCCATCTTCTTTATCTGGCAGCTGACAGACACCCTGTGAGGAAGTAAGGCAAGCGAGAAATTCAGATGAAATTGAACAGATTTGAGAACCATCTTTACCTCCCCCACCCTTAAACAACCTCTAAATAATCCTCAGTCATCCTGGAAAGCAAAGTTAAATCCCTGCTGAACTGAATAAATATTTTACTAGAACAGCCAGATATCAGAATAAAGCGAATCACTTATTTTACACTATTACGAGAACTGTTTTTCAACGTAGCATATAAACGCTTCTTAAATTTTTATTGCACCAGCAAGGATGACAGGACTCCTCCACAACATCCTTCACCACCAAAAAAGCTCTTACCATGAATTTGGTGTCACCTTTAGAAAGCACATCTGTGACAAAGTGGACTTTTTCCAGTTGTTCTACAACCTGATGCAAAAGTTTTGACTAGGAACAATGATAACAAAGAAGAAGAAATTACTTCACAAATAACAAAAGTATCTTACCTAGTTACTAGACAGAGGCTTCTGTAAGTACAGGACATGATCATAATTACATGTACGATTCTAGATAAAATTTGACCCAAATGGAGAAAAAATGTAACAGTAATACTGAGAAAAAGCTAATAAAATTACAGTTGCGCAACATAAAAACGATTTCCGCTGACACCCCACGCCTTTAGTTGGAAATGACAAATCTAATTCAGCTTTTAAACAATGAATCTACAGAAGGAACACAAGGAAAAAAACCCACTGTCATTAATGCTACTTCAGAGTTAGTCCCAAAAGATTACAAGGGCAGCAGGGCAGTTTCCTATCATCATCTAAACGATTATGGCTACACAAAAAGATACTCAGTCTACCAGCTAGCTTTACAGTTCTGTGTTATAAAAGCATATGAATTTAAGTGGGTGGGGGAATACGTGTGAAAGGAAGAGGAAGAACAGAAGGGTAAAAATAAGCATATTGACTAGTTCTGCAAGAGAAATGCAACGTGGATCCGAGAGGTAATTGTAACTCCTCAAAATAAACACGGTGATCCAAGAGAAAAGTTCAATATTATAGTAAATACAAAACCACCAAAAGCTGCAATACAAGTCTGAGACTATATGCAATGTACAGTACTGATCCACAGCATCTGAGACACACCTGTTTGGATGATTCAGATGTAAAACTGGGATGGGTTAGGAGAACATCCATATCGCCGCTTGACTCTGCGCCTAGGCAAGAAAGAAGCAAAGAAAAATCCTTCTATGCGTGGCAATGCATATAAATGTGGGTGAACATACATCTTACCTCTTCTTGTAAATGTGTTTTTCTAGTAGAAAATGGTCACTATTCGAGGTATTAGCAAACAAAAAAAATCTTAAAGTGAACGAGTCTTTTCTTTTCATCAAAAATTTTATATTCCTCATACCTAAGAAAATATACAAGAATTTCTTGCTCTACTCTATAGCAATGAAGCACCAATGTTGTTAATGTAAAAATAAAACAAACAATTCACGTTACAACATACTACTTTATATGGGGGAAGGGTGGAGAAGCACGGATTTATGTGCGTGTCTCATCACTGAACTAGCTAGTGAAGACAATACTAACAGGAAAGGCCAGGTTCCAGCATAGACTCTGTCAAGAAGAACAGCATATATAGTAACTTATCTTGCTTATTAACCCAAAATAAAAATAACAGGATCAGAGTACCAACCTCGCCTAAAACTGCCACAGACTGTAGCAATATAGTTTGGGTCCAGCTTCTTTATCTCTTTGAGCACAATTTCCTATGTAAAAAGGAAAGAAGCGTGTTTAGAGGCGTCATTCATTCACTGGCCATCAGTACCTCGCATTCTTAACAATGAGATTCTTACCTGCATTTGCAACATTTCTTCCCTCGGGATTCTCTTCTCAAAATCTTCAAAGTATCTGCAAATATAAAAATAGAAGTATCCGAAAGAGTGGCAGGGGCAGCATCTTAAAATTTGAGTCAATTAAATGCCTATCAGAGGGCAGAACACTGACTTACACTACTGTCACACCACAAAAAGCTCCTGACTCTCATCAAACATCTTAGAAAACGTCTTGCAAGATGACAGTAAAAACTCACAACTGCGAGCTTGACAATGCTCAGAATTTAGTCTCAGTGTTTCCACTGTATACAAAGAGTTGCTCTGAGGCGGGAGGAGTATTACCATATAACCAATTGCTTAATATTTACATAGCCCTCTGAAAATACAAAACGTTCCTGACAAGACTCAGCCCACCAGCGAGCCGGAGGAACAGGTCCCTCACCCATCCTCAGAGGAGTCCTATGCTGGAAGGAGCTAAACGGAAACACGCAACTCAAATGCAGCCTTCCACTGTAAAACTCAGATTGTCAGCATGCTGCTTGACTGTGGAGAAAAAGAGGGCAAGTGAAACACCATTTGGCTTTACTTGGTTCACTTGCAACTATGGCTATAGTTCTTCCAGAACTACCACACCGAAGACACACTCAACAAACAGCATTTAAGCTGATGAATACTGAGGGATAAACGCATTCTGTGCAGCATTCTCAAACTGAGACATGCAAATTACTTACTTACCTTGGTCACAGCAAATAAAAAAAAAAAGCCTGGGCCACTTCTATGCAGATTGCGAAGAAACAACACCACAACCTTGCCAAATGGATTCTCCAGGGATGAGCTAACTAGAAAGTCACTTGATATTAACTTCCCTCTGAACAGAGACTAAGCCTTCCAACCCCAGTGAAACAAAAGCTCTAAATAATTGCTGAAAAGCATGTAGAGCACAGAGAGAAGAGAACCTTACTCAGTCTGTGTAACCTTACATTACATCCCGGTGTCTGAAGGAGTCATTGAAAACACCAAGCACAAACACTTGTACCCAAGAAACCTTACTTCAACCCAATTCGCTGGTGATGGGTCAGCTTGTGCTCAATTTTTCTTAGATCTAGAAAAAAAATCCAAACAAAATAGTTAACTGAGGACTAAAGATCTTACAGTAAGTTTCCACTGACGCAAAAATGATGCGCATAAAGAACAGGTAATGAGAATACAGCCTCAAAGGAGGGAATTTCAAACTACCTACACAACAACTGATAGGATGCACAAATGCACAGAACACTTGCGACAGAGACTTAATAAACCACCAAAGAGCCAAAATCCTCGTTACCTTCCATGTGACCTGCACATACTTTGGTTATGTATGGAATGCCTTAAGCCTGTGTACTAGCTTTAGCATCTTACACATCGTCCTCAAAGCCTAGGGCATATATTCTACCACAGTACCACTGTAGAAGAGGCAGCTTGACAGAAAAAAAGATTCCTGGAGCGTGAACCAAGGCCCCATATTTACACTTACCTTCTAAAGTCTTAATTCCTTCCTCAACAAACTTCCTAGCAGCAGCAGGACTGCAACGAGACAAGGCAATCCGGCATCACGAATGGCAAGAATCTTACAACACCAAATGGGACATTTGAGTTATTTGTAACTGTCTAGGTTCTTAAAGGCCAAGACTGAGGTTGCTTGTGATGCTTGTATCTTTTCAGCATACTCGTGTTCAGCTTATGCTTTCAGTCAGCTGAGATCCAAAGCTCGGCCCACACATTTTTTAGCATTGATGTAACTATACAGTGACATAAAATTGTAAAAAATTTTAAAAAACACACCAAATAGGCAATATTGCTTCAGACAGTAATACCAAATGCACGATAACATTGCAGCGGAGTTCTGATGGGCTTTTTTGTTTGCTTGTTTTTGTTTCATTGCCTGCTTCGAGGCTCTGTTCCTCCTTCTACAAAAACCCTGAGGCCAGTCTCACTTCCACTTTGGACTTTCACGGTTCCATTCCTGACCCACACCTCTCTCCTTCCCCTCTCAGCTTGCACACAGGAGCTTCCCACTTCCACTCCCCTACCACAAAGTCTGTAACTCACGATTCTACATACCCTTTTGTCTTGTTCAATCCCATAATCGTGACTACAGTGTGTGTGTCAGCGTGGGTATTACATCATCAGCTCAGGCTCATTCCCTTCGCTATGGGCAATCACCCAAATTCTGTTCAGAAGTCCATCAAATGAACAGAAGGAAAAAAGACCCCAAGAAACACCCCATGAAACTTTTACCCGATGCCAGTGACTCGTGTCAGGAGACTGATAGAAGCACTCGTATCATCTTGTCGAATCTACAAAAACAATACAAAGCAACCCAAATCCTTCTTTACTCCATTTGCAATAAACAAATAAAAAGAAGCCTTAAGAAGATAAAACAGCTTAGTGAGACTCTAGTTTGGACGTTCGCTATAAGTCACCACAAAACAGTACCAAGGGTGGTACAGCATATTGCAATAACACCACACGTAACTAGCCCAAAAACCACCCAACTAGCCTCACTGAGGTGAACAGTGGGCCTAAAGCACAAAGCTCCACAGCCTTCCAGCAACAGAATTCCACTCCCGACAGAGGACCTGCATGTGCTGACTAAGTAAGTAAGATAAAATATTTTCATAAATAGACAGCTTTGAGGCTTTGGCTGAGCTTCTCAATTCTTGATTTCTACTTACCATACAATTTCATGTTCACCCTCCTAACACTTTCTGGACAACAACAGAAATGTGCAAAGCAAGCACGCTACTTTGCAAGTTATTGAGAAAAGCAACTGCTGAGAAACACAGAAAAAGATGAAGAAACCCACCTTTTCCAATTTCCGTAGTTTTCCAGTGGATAAGAATTCATCTATCTTTTCGGCTATTTTAGCACCTACTCCATCCTAAATATTGGGGGGTGAGTACAAACAAATTAAATTCAAAATCACTTGAAGTCATTATACGTGGGAAGCAAGAAAAACTACCTAGAATTTAGAGTCCAGAAAGAACTACGGGGCACCCGAGACCACTTGGATCTTTCACTGGACCATAAAAGAGCACAAGAATTCAAGGGTACAATATAAACGGCATAAACACTGTAATGCAAGGGCTATATCAAGTTACCCCGAACCAGTAAGTTTGAACAAGGCTTTGATTCTCACTGCTCAAGATCTTCGAATTAACAAAGGAGTAAGAGAGCAAAAGAGGAAGATATTTTTACAGGCGGAGACTCAGATGGGATGCCCAGTTCCAGCTCTGAAACCCCCACGGTGGCCACACTCGTCCCCGTCCCTGAACTCTGGCTCGGGTACCGGAAAGACGCGCCGGAAGAAGCGGGGATGCCCCCACGCTTCCCAGGAACTCCCGGCACCTCGTCCCCGCTCCGGCTGCCCCAGATCCTCCCTCCGGCAACCCGGGCACTAGCACCTACCAGCTTCTTGGCTTCAGCCCCGCTCCGTATCTTGCTCGGATACCGAGAAATGACCGACGCCGCTTTCCTGCGAAACAGCGCCGATCAACGCCCGAGCGGGCTGGGGCCCGGGACGGGGGCGCGGCGGGAGGGAGGCCGTACCTGTACGCGTTGTACTTGTGGATGGCCCGGTTCACGTTGCGCTCGTAGTTGGCCAGTTCTGCAGGAGAACCGCAGTGAGAGCAGCCGGGCCGCGCCCTTCCCACACAAGGAACCAACCGAGCGCACACACCTACCGGTGAGGAAGTCGGTGATGCCCTCGTTGGGGCTCTCCTGGGGAGCTTTGCGCTTGCTCATGGCCGGCACCGGCGCCGAGCGCCCGCGGGAACTTCCGGCAGCAGGAAGGCGCTTGCGGAAGTGACGTCACGGCACGTCCGGTGGCCGCGGCTGCCGGAGGAGATCGGCTGGCGGCGAGTACGCTGCTAAACGTCAGTCTGCCGCATCACAGGCCCTCCTCTCGGCTCGATGTTATTGGAGCTCTCTTTTTGCACAAGTAGCCAAGTACGATGGGCTTCACCTGGGTCTCGAATGTCCGTACTTACCGACCTAGCCCCCTTCACATGTCTCTTTTTACTCACAGCACACGCGTCCGCCTCACATATCTGAGTTTTTTGGCCAGCCTCCTTTAGTGGCACCGCTCCAGGCTGCAAGCGGTGGCCCTTATCCCCGTGAAACAAAACTCACCCTCCCAGTTTCCTGGCATCGGTTCGGAGGAGGTGTTTGAGTCTCCAAAGGCAGCCAGGCAGTGAGAAATGAGGAAAAAAACAGTGAGAAATAAGGAAAAAATCAGTGAAAAATGGGGGAAAACTCAGTGAGAAATGGAGGAAAAGTCGATGAAAAATGGGGGAATAAATCAGTGAGAAATGGGGAAAAAAACAGTGAGAAATGGGGAAAAAGTCACTGGGAAATGGGGAAAAGAATCAGTGAGAAATGGGGGGGGAAATCAGTGAGAAATAGGGGGAAAATCCATGAAAAATGGAAAAAATCGTTGAGAAATGGGGGGAAAAAATCAGTGAGAAATGAGGAAAAATCGGGAAAAATCCATGAAAATTGGGGGAAAAATCCATGAAAAATTGGGGAAAAAATCAGTGAGAAATGGGGGGAAATGGCAAAAAATTCAATCAGAAACGGGGGGGGGGAATCAGTGAGAAATGGGGGAAAAATCCAAGAAAAATGGCGGAAAAAAATCAGATCGGCAATTGATAGGTAATGCGGGACGATCACTTATATCGGCAATCGAGATTGCCGATCGATTATATCGGCGATCGATTGCTAATGCCTGCCGATCGATTAG